TGCGCCAAATTTTAGACGCGCCATTTGACTTTCGATGCCTCCTTGAGTCGGCAAACAACCCAGCGTCTTGGCCTGGCAACTCCATCGGACGGTGACAGTGATCGCGGGGCTGCTTTTAGGTGATGGGCACTATTTGCGGCGTGATTCACCCAACATCACATGTTTCTAGCGCGTAAGTAGCTGCCAGTTATCGGCCCGCCCTATCAGTTGAGCTCGGCACGCTACCACTGGCCGCAAGATGGTATTGAGTACGGATGTACTCCCTATTCCCAAGGCCGCCTTCCTTCGATCAATTGTGCATCACAGTGGGATGAACCCCGAACAAAGGTGGCTCAGCAAGGCCTCCCACCCTGTGGACGCCGCAGAATCAGAAGCCACTCGGGGCTGCTTATCCATTGCAGCACTGGAGGATGTCCTGAAGCCCCCTTCACTGCACCCCTTTTACGACTGCAGCCGGACAGCCATCATGCCATATTCCTCCGGTCGATATTTCTCTAAATCCTCCGTAGGTTGCACAGGAAATAAAAGACCCCGGACTTGTGCCAAACGGTCCTCTCAACGTCGGCCTGTCACTGTCGAAACCCAGCGAATTGCGGCACGGAGAGCCCTCGGCTCGGTCTGAGTAAAGTACGTCCAAGCGGAGGCGCACCGTGGAGGCGTTCCCTTATCTCTCCGCCCCCGGGCTCTCCCCGCCTCTGTTTGGTCCCCCAAACATCTCGAAAAGGCGCTTGGCTGCGTCGGTCCGCGCAGTTAATCAGCAACCCCAGAAGCCCCAAAGAGGTCCATGCCCATGGAAAGCTCCCGACGACGTCGAAACGTCCCATCTTGTCACCAACCAGACGAGGCTCTTTCACTAGGATCAAGGGCTTACCGGATTGCCTAATGAGCCAGTTGCTGGAAAGTAAAATATAGCCGGCTTTCATCCCGTTACCCTCCATCTTCAAGTTTCGGGCTTTCACATCGTGCTCCTTTGTGTTCCTTGCGCGCTCCTAGAGCTTCCGCCATCAGCTGGTAGACCGGACTGCCCCCGCTCCAACCCCCTCACCCCCACGTTGGCGCCCGTCAACAGTCGGCTGGTGCTCACCCACGTCTCGGTCTGCGGTAGCTAGCTTGACTTTGCTTCTGCTGTTCCCCGCCGCTGCTCAATACGACCCGACACTGCGGGCTGCCGCTCTTGGGATCCTGATATCGATTGACCGGCATTTTGAAGCCATTCTGCGGCCAGCTCGATTGGAGCTTCCCAGTCCATCCTGGGCCTGCGCCATCGGATAATGCTACGAGCCTGGCCTTGTTGTACCTGAATTCCTAGCCTTAATCCCGCTCCCTGGCTGCCGCTTGCATCTTTCTTCGGCTGCTGCTCACCTCCTTTCAAGTCTCTACCCTCATTTCTATCGGCCGGACGGACGAGTGAATGATCGCCAGTCATGGCTTCCCGAGGCGCCAGGTCCCGTAAGGTTGCCGAGAAGCAGATCACCAAGGAAGAGAAGAAGTACCAGCAAAAGGCCGTCAGAGATCGTCTTGACCACCTACACTCGCCTGTCAGCGGCCGGAGTACCGCGATCCCAACATCGCCCATCCTCTCACCCATCCAGGCTGTACTGTCAGGGCGCAACACTTCGGTCGTGAGCTCCAGCGCATCAATAACTTCGAGGGATAGCAATGGCAGCGGCCAGACCACCCAGACCACTGGTGGCATGTCCAAGTTGTCGTCCAAGCTCTCTCTAGGCGACGAAAAGTATGCAGGACGCGGAAAGAAGACCGCAGCCCCGCGCGGTCGTGGCGGCGGGGTTCCTGTCAAAGTGCCCGTGGCTGCCGCCGCGAAGTCGGTATCGCGACCTGTGACGCGCACTTTCGACTACAAGACTCGACCATCATCATCTTCATCGCAGCCTTCCAGTAGGTCAACAGTACCCGAGAAGACCTGGATCCACACGAAGGTTTGGTCTGGGAGTGGACAGCCGATCCGTCCGTACCCGGGGTTCGAGCACGTATGTTATGCCGCACCTCAATCGCACCTACTAATATTCCAGGATGATGACCTGTGGCTCTCTGATGGTGATTGCCTTATCTTCTTCAGTGGAGAGACGGAAGAGGAAGATCCCCGGCCAATGCTTCGAGTGCACGCCAATGTGCTTGAACAGACCCGCTCAACCTTCATCATCAACCTTTTAAAGTATGGTGAAATCATTCCGGACGAGGAAATACAGCCTCCACCTCGTTCGCGAGCCACTTCAGCTGGATCTGACGGCCATCATCCATGGCCATTGAACTCAACGAGTCTGGGCAACCTCGATGAGCTTTTGGCCGAGACTGCTGGACGTGAGGCCGTCATTCCGAGGCCTCCCGACACTCGTTCAAACTCGAATCGCGATACGTGGTCTACCACTGATCAGACGTGCTGGTCGCCCGGCGCACCTACGGCGGACGGCACGACTCCACGCCCAAATTTCCGGGTGCCACCTAGTGTCGCCGAAGCCTCAGAGCTCTCCGGCATATCCAGTGACTACGGGGATCTCCTTGACAACATGCCGGATCACACTGAGATTACCCACGAGATCTGGTTCCGTGCGCCTTCTAACATCAAGCGTGCAGACATTCAGCGACGGCACCACATGGCGACGCGAAACTTCATTGCGCTGCTGTACGGTCTGCCTATCATTGGGAATGACTTTTTTGAGATGCTTTCCGATCTGCAAAACGTTATCGACACATATTACGAGCTGAACGACCCATCTGAACGCTGGAATAGCGCTCAAGTTTTGGTGCAGTACCTGACCCAACGTGGTCTGGATGATGTGCGCGGTAACGTCCAGGCCGCTCTGGGCCTGTTGGCGTGGTCAGAGCAGCCCAACGTCATGTGGGACGCAGGCTATCTGGAAGCCTTCGTACACTGCGTCGGCATCATGTCGCAGCGCACGATGGAAACGCGCGAGTACAAGAACCTCACGCAAATGACGCGGCACAAGCTGCAGCACGCATACAATGCCATGCAGCTCAAACTGCTTGAGGCGGAAGAGCGCCTCTCGCGCTTCGATTTTAACGAAATGTGGGAAATGGACGGAGTGGCCGGCGATCACCCTGCCCGGCGCAGCTTCGAGGCTTTCCGCGACTTTTTGTACTGCTTTTATGCCAGCGAGTATGGGAGCTGGCCGCCCGCAGAAACGGACCATCAAGGCCATTGGCTTACGTACAGTCTGGTGCAGCGTCTACAGGCCGATTTTGGAGCCATGTATGACTACCTCGTTGACCGGAATATTCGCTGGGATGCGAATGAGGAACGACCGACACGAAAATGGGAAATGGTATGCAACCGGCCTGGAGAGAACTTCGAGGCAGACACTCCGGGCTTGCCCTTGACGAATATGTTGATTGGCTTCGACTCGAGCCAAAAGTACGACCACATCCCCCACCCGTATCCGCTCCTCCCGGCCGGAAAGAGCTCTGGGTCGAAGTCAGCCTCTAGTAAGAGGAATATCTTTGGCATTAAGAGGAGTAAAGAGGCGGCCGCAACCCTGGATGCGAAGGCGCAGTATCAAATGGCCTTGGCCTACAATACTGCAACGAACATCAACCGCCTCGGATCCTCATTTGAAGGTACGTCGTTTCCCAGTTGCACTCCCAACCACTAACTCCTCCAGACAACTCCCTCCTCGATGAGCTCGGCAGCTACGAGAAAACCACCGTCCTCCCACCCAACATCACCCCGGCGGATGCCCGCCTCGGCCGCTGGATCCTCCTCTACGGCATCCTCCAAGTTCTGAGCACCATCAGCGTCGACACCGCAGGCCTGAAATACAAGGCAAAGGTGCGGTACCACCTCTGCCCGCCCCTTGAAGGCTGTCCGCGCTGGCGCTCCCCCGAGGCCGCGCCCCTCATGATCGAAGCCTGTCAGCAACGCAGCTACTGCTGGCGCGCGCCTGCGGCATGGGCTCGTGCGCAGCGTGGTGGCGGCGGCGTCCCCGAGAATGGAGAGGTGCTCACCCCGCCTGCGTATGAGAATCATCAGTATGAGCGCGTGGCGGGCATGGGGCCGAGCCCCCCGACGACGACAGAGGGGCCGGCTAATGGGACGGGTGTGAGTGCGGCACCGGCGAGGACAGGGCCGGTGAGGACGCAGCAGCGCGGGTTTGGGAGAAGTCCCGGGGCTCCGCCGTCGCCTGTAGTACCACCGCCCGTGCAGCGGCTGCCGGATGTGCCTGTGGGCGGGCAAGGGGATGTTAAGGGGAGGTTGGGGCTGGGGTTTGGACCGGGGGTGGGGAATGATGGGAGGGAAGGTGGGAGCGGCGGGTTCTTTTAGGTGCTTGGGAAGAGTGGGTTGGGTTTGGATGGTTTGGCATGGGCATAGATGATGGTGTTTCGGCTTGGGCTTGGGATGGATGCTGATGCTGATGGGATGTACGGCGCGTGTTTTCGCTTCGCTCGATACCCTTTGGACTTTGCGCTGGTGTTGTGGGTGGTAGCGTTGTTCTGGTGCTCGGTCTCTTTGGCTATGCTTACGATGGGCTGTGCTGGCACGTTGATGGACTGGGCCCTTCGATCTGTATTTCCGTTTTGGATCGGTCTGATGTAAGTAAAGTATTGCTGCTATCTGTAGTGCTTAGATCTGTGGATATTTTTCTTGGAGCGTCTGATGGCTACAAAAGCAATTTTATACTCGGTCGGTTATCATACTTCGTGAGCACGTAGTGTATTGCTCAAGTGGTACGTTCTCATATAGTTCTAACTCCTCGACCCGCATCTTCTCTTCACTTTGTAATCAAGTGGATTTATCTTTGCCAGGTTGCCAGATTCATGCCTCTTTCCCTGGAATATTCCCAATTCCGGTTTCTCTCCCAGAACCGGAAGGCTCACAAGTCTCGATCACCACCCTCAGCCTCACCCAGCGCCAAGCCATCCAGCCTTGCCCACCCTCAAACTCCCGACCGCCCCACTACGCGAAATCTCTTCACCCCTCCTAAGTCCGGTCATGTCCTGTTTTCTTCTTTCGCTCTCCATCAATAGGCAAGATGGCCGAGCGGTCTAAGGCGCCAGCTTCAGGTTCCACATCCAGCCCTCGGGTGGAAGCGGCTCCCAATCTGCTGGTCTAGTAATAGGCGTGGGTTCGAATCCCACTCTTGTCAACATCCTTTTTGTCTGGTTTTAGAAGGGATGGAAGGGGCTGGGCATGCCTTTTTTTGGGGAACAGGATGTGGTTGAGAGGAGGCGGGCGTCACATGTGCCGAGTTTAGGTGCGATCGGCAACCAGGCTACTCCATTTTTGACCCCACGAGGTGCAAGGCACAAGACTACCACGATCCTCTCTATTCAAACCATGTCCGCTCGAATATGAAGATCTCATGAACCCAGCGCAATCTCTATGCACACGACAGACACCATGGTACTCCAGCCCAGTCCAACCTCCGCATCACGTATCACAACAAAGACCAGGCATGCCCTAAACGTTTACAAAGACCGCGAAAAAGCCACGGACGGTATACTGGGTATAGTAGCAGCTGCAGTTCGGTAACCAAAGCCTCGAATCACTCATCCCCTCCGCTTCCATTCGCCGCTGCCTCCTCTGGAGCTCGCCCATTCGCCGGGAGCGGTGGTGACTGGACTGCCGGCGTGCCGTTTACGATGTTCTTCTCTCGGACGAGGTTGGTGAGGAATGCGCCTATGTCCCCAGCGCCGTCGATCTTGCTCAGCTTTGCGTTGAACACCTCGGCATCGCGGAGAAGCCTGTCATAGGTTAGCTCGAGTCCATTGAGTAAAGAAGCAGCACAAACCTCTCCTTGCCCGCCTCGGTCTGCACATTCGTCTCGCGGAACGCCTTCCCCCACTGCTCGCGATAGCTCCTGAATACCGGGTCCATGATCATGCGCACGCTGATCTCAGGCAAATTGCGGTTCAGCACGCGGTGCAACGTCGCCGTCTCCTTAGTCAGCGTCTCCATGTGCGGGCTGGCGCCTGCCCGGCCGGCATCGGCGTCGAAATCGATTTTGCGCATCGAGGAAATATGCGCCCCGGCGCGCGTGCTCATGATGTCCACCAGCTTCTCGTGGATGCTGACTTGGTGGTCCTGACACAGTCGTCGCACCTTGTCGAACTCGGCTGTTTTGTCGCCGCTCATGCCTGGTCTGCGGCGTACGAATTCGCGAATGTAGGGGATGAGGGCGATGACGAAGCTGAGCGCCTGCGAGGCTAAGGCCATGTGCTTTGTGTTGATGTTCTTTAGGCCAGCGGTGGATCGCGTCGCTCCGGCACCGAGGACCAGTTGGCAGGACCTGGAGTTGAAGAGCCGCAGATACTCTAGAAGCGCGGCTGAGACGTCGGAGGATATTGACGGTATGCACACCATCAATGACTGGAAGCGAGCAATGCCTTGTAGTACCGAGATGACGGATTCGACCAGAATGTATTTCTCTTCGTCGATAACTGCACTGCGAACTTTTTCTTTGGCAAGCGTGCTATTGTTTTCGGTATCCGGGGCTGAGTTTCCATTTACGGCCGGGGGAGAGACATCTTCCCAAATATGAGTCTGCGCGAGCCACGCAGGAGGATCTGAAGTCATGCCGACCAGGACACGATTTAGGACGATAGCGTCAGCGTCGCTAAAGTCCTTCGCCTCCCATTTGTCGGCGTCCATGATTTGGGCTAACTTCTGCTTCTCGTCGTCTGCCATAACAGCGAGAAACTCCGAGATTTGAGAGTTTATGACGCCTTTCAGTGCGGCTCCTGACCGTCCCGACACCGCTTCACACTCGTCTGCGAACAGTCGATTGAGCGTGAAGTATCGGAGGAAGTGTTGCGGTGACAGATGGGTGGTTTGCTCGGTCCGAACTTTGAGAACCTTGATCATCTGCGTCTGAGCAACGTCCACTGCTTGCCCCAAAAGGCTGGACAGATCTAATGCCTGCATAAGTTCCTCCTGGAGATCCCCAGGTGGAGGAGCCGAGCCATTCAAAACAGCGGAGTCGATACTGCGCATGTCGGGACTCTTTGGGGGTGATCGCGTTCCCGGTGACGACAGGGCCTGGCCACTGGTTACATCCAGGAGCATTTTGACCTGAACCTGAAGACGGCGAAGAGCCTCGCCGACTGCGCAGTAGATTCTCGAAAGCATCGACTCCGCATCTTCGGGGCTGAGCGCACAGAGGTTCCGAATGAGAATGGCGGATTTGTCTTGCTGCGAAAGACCGCGTCCGCCTCTAGTCGAGGCCGAGGTAACGGATTCGTTATCGTCGTCGCTCGAGCTAGGTAGATGCTGCCGTATCAGTTGTTTCATTTCCCGCATAATTGCGTCCCTTAAGGCGCCGGTGGCCGCCACTGTGTATTTTGATCGACTCAAACCAGTTAGGATTGAGTGAAGATTCCGCCTGAGCTGCGGGTTGGTGTGAAGGTATGCGGGGACAATAGAAGGACCTCCGGAATGGAGGCCTCGCGATCTTTGAGAAGCCGAGGCCCATCTCTTCAAAGTATCCTGGGACGGGACTCCAGCGACGTGCCCACGTAGATCCGACAGAAGCGCTTGCAGAAACCTCGACTCGAACCCTTTGCCCACCCGAGCTCGCAGCTGATCAAGCCCCGCAGCAAAGCCATCCAGAGCTTTAAGGCGCCGTAGATCTGATAGCTGGCGTGGGACTTCCGATGCCAGCCAGTCAAAGTTTCCTACTGTACTTCTATCGAGTTTTCCGCAGGTAAACTCTTCGAGCACCGCCATTCGGTCGATGGCGGTTTCGAGTTCTCCATGCTCGACAAGCTCTTCACAATGAGATGCTCCAGCAATGACGCACCGCAGTTGTTCGACGGCGTCGGTAAGCTTACGAAGATTTTCCCTCCGCTGCTTCATTGCCACGATCTCGAGGCCACCGACAGCCATATCTTTGTCAAGCTGTGCGAGATCCTGACGGAGCCTTTTGATCTCTGCAACCGAATCTGCGGCCTCGGAATGAAGTTCCTTCAAGGAACCGAGCGCAGCGAAAAAAGATTTGGAGGCGGTAGAGATGGAGGAGATGAGGTGTATTTCCACAGTGTCCAGATACCACGACAGTTTCTCCTGGAGAATAGCGTTCGTCGCAAGTGCTTTGCGCGGCTGTGCAGCCGTTCCGTTCGCCGAGGCATTGGATGGCTTGGAGTCATCGCTAGCCAAAACAGGTGATTTAACAACCTCCGACCGTTCGCTCACGATATCAAAGGTCCGCGGGTTTTCGAGCCGAAAGTTCTCCTCGAAGTATATAGGGGGTATGATGGACAACGGGGTAGCAGCCGGGGGTGCTCGCCGTGATACACCACCGCTGGACCTCCTCCTCGCTTGGGGCTGTTCCGTTGGCGAAAGCGTCGACAATGACCCTTGTCTCGATCCCGGCCTCGAACGCTGCTGGTCCCCGCGTGAGCCATGCTCCGGTAAGCTTTGGAGCTCATCTTCCTTTGCTGGCTCTCGCTGGCCCCTTGCCCACTGTGCGACTGCAGCTTCTTCACTTTCAGCGCGTGCGCGAGCCTCGAAAAGAGACCCCACCTGGTGCAGGTATGGTTGGAATGCCGACGTATCGACGTGCGGTATATTTGTGAGTGTAACCGGCGGTATGTCGCGGGTGGAGGGAGGCTTATGCGCCGTTGATGCCGCTGCGGTGTGTGGCAGTAGGCCGGTGCGGACAATCGGCAGCTGCAGAAGAGTGGAAATAGCTATCGTCACGTCAGCTACGTGCCTTTGGCAGACGCCTGCAGCTGCAAAGCATACCATTCTGTCCCGTGTCTCTCACCGCACTCGGCCTACTTTGTGCGGACATATCCAGGGTGCCGCCGATCGAGCTGATGGAGCTTGCGGTGGACCCGCGCCGCGGCTGGTATCGATTCGGGGGGCGTGCGGACCAGTCATGGTTTGAAAAGTAGGAGTCCGAGTACAGTGTGGGGGTTGAGGGCGAAGTAGCCTCCAAGTTCTCTCGGGGACTCTGCTGGCGTGCGGCCATTGTCGCGGCGTTGGTAGTGGTCTGCGTGGTCGTGGAGGAGGCATGAGGGAGGTTGCCGAAGTCGAGCGTCGAAGTTTCTCACATAGCGAATCGCGCAGTTGCACAGACGACTTAGTTATTCGCTACCGGCTGAGAAGTCCGGTGTTGCCTGCAGATGTCAAGCTTGAAGCTTAACAGATGGCAACATAGTTATCGCAAGACAGAAGGATGCCAGGGGTGTAATATTTGCCTGAGGCATTAAAATTGCCGACTACGGGCCGCTTACGTGGGCAAGCCAGGTCTAACTTGGGACGGCTACAACGATTAACGAACTGGTATGTCACAATACAAGGCTGAGAGATGTCCATATAAACCAAAGGAGATCACAGGTATGGCTATGGTCACGATTGGGCAGGCATTGAGATTTGAGAGAAAGTAGCGTGTTATTCTCCAAATATCAGACCTACCAAGACTCCGCTTGGAACTCGGCCCGGTTGATGAGAAGAATTTGTTCAGACCCGGGAACCGAATGCTAATACCAGAACTCCTTGTTCTTGTTCTTATTCTTGCTGTCCATCCCAGCGTGGGTGTTTGAGCGAACCAGATTGGTCTGCACCTACGACTGCGGCTGAGGTTGATGGTCGGGGACTGATATCCCCTTTGAGTGCTTTGCTCGGACTGGATATGTGATGGTGGGTGTCGAGGTCCTCGCATTCGTGGTGAGCGGAGCATGAAGAAGTTGGGGCCCTGCATATCCTGGGGCAGAGGTGATCTTTTGCTTAGAAGTTATCGTCGTCCGAAGGGAATGTACAGGAAGATGGGCTGTGACAAAGGTAAGGACAAATGGGTACCCGTATAAGCAAGCTGTAGTTTGATCAATAGACATGAAATATTGAATTCAGTGGGCTTCCTCGGCTTGCCAATAATTGCAGCTTCATGGCAAAGTGGAATTATAGATGACTGGGGTGAAGGTTGGCGGGGGCGGCCGGTGGAGATTCATGAAGACGGCGTGCGATGAATATTTATGGGGACGTTAAGAGTAGTTAACGACGGGCATGCTTCGCAAGCAAGTAATGATTCTGCGACAGAAATGTTAGTAAAAGTTTGGCTAGGAGCCTTTTCTCGTACCCTGTGAGAAGTAAGAGCTTGACGTCTAACGTTTAAATTTTGAACTTTGCCGATGGTAGTGCATGCGA